GAGAGGCTGAGGAGACTGCGGGCGACGCGACGGGCGAGTGGCCGACCTGCGGCCCCGAACGTAGTTGCCCAAAAGGGGACAAGCGCGAATCTGGCGCCCGGGGAACGTGGCCGACTCGGAGCTCGGCGCGCGGCTGATTCACGCGTCCCCCACTCTCTGCTTCCGCCCACCAAGTCTGCTTCCGCTTCTGCGGCGTATCCCCGCCTAACTCGGCGACTGGGGCTGCTCGGGGGAGAACAATGCAGCGTACTTCCCACACACGACGACTGCCTGCGCATCATCGCATCCTCGGCGGCGCTGGTGGGATATCTGTGGCCAGGGCGGGCCACGCACCGATTCCCGCAATCTACGCGACTGTCACTACAAGGCGTCGTCCTCGGGTGTGCACGGTATCCAGGTGGTGAGTGCGCTTGCTCGTAATCTGTCTCGAATCCGCTGACGAGGTGATGCGTACGGCAGGTATCGCCGAGCCCAGCACTCAACAGCGCGTAGTGCAGAACGCGGCCCCGGAGGCGTCGTGCGCGGCTAGCGGCGACTGCGCCTGCGACTCGACCCATCGGAATGCCTCTCCGTGCGACCCAGCTCCCCTAGCGCAGCATCTGCTGCCTCGGGTGTAGACGTCGTGGAGATGGCTGAGAGGGTCGTCGTACGACGTATATCTGCATGCGCGACGACGGGGCCAGACGGTCCTTCGCCGATTTTGCGCGGATGGGCCGTCTGACGGTTCTACGGTTTCCCGCAAGGACCGCCCTCACCTTCCTCGCCTGTTCGCCGTGCACCCCTGGCAGGCTCTCTCCCAGCCCATTGCTCGGTGGGTGGTGCGTACGCACCCTCCGTTGTCCGCCGTCCGCGCCGCGTTCAGGTATGCGCTCCTCTCGGACGGCGGCATTATCGCGTCCTCACGCATGCGCATCCTTGAAGCCGCGCTATCCCGCACCGCCCACTGCGCTCCGCGTCGAGCGTGCATGAGGCGCGTCTGTGCCTCCCGGTGGCGTGCACAGGACTTCGCAGGCATCGGGTCCTGCTGACGGCTGTGTTTTCGAGGTGCGAACGCCCAGAATATGGTAAATGGAATATTTTTCAAGGCACCAGTCGCCGCTTGTGCATCATATGGTGTGTACTGCGTACCACCCGCCCGCGTTTCCTATCTGATGCACTCGTGGCTTGGTCCAAGCAGAAACGGCAGTGCCCCCGCATTTCTGTGCGGCTGTTTCGTTCACCGTGCATGTTTAAACAGCGTGCGCTGTGCTCTGGATACGGCGTTTTACTGCCTTTGGACCGCGGTGCCGTGCACGCCTGCGTCGGTGGTTGCTACTCTCCCCAAGATGCCGACCTCGCGCGCCGATGCAGCTTCCTGTGGGACTCTGAACGCAACGACGCACACCCCCGCACCACGGTGCATCCACTCAGCGAGTATCAGAGCCGTCGGGACCAAGACTTTCTGTTGTGCCGAGCGATCTCATAGACCAAGTGCAAACAGAGAATCGCGTGTTGCGGCCGTCCTCACGGTCAACGCCGCAGCGCCGTCCCAACGCCATCCACACTTCCATCGGTGCTCCCATAGACGTCTATGGCCATGTCCCGCCATGTTCGCATGTGTGCGAGCAGGTAGCCCCTCGAGGATGTCACGATGACCCCGACAAGACGTCCTCACGCCCGAACGCCGCGCCGTATCACCCTCGAAATGCGCTTTCACCCGATTTGGACCAGGATGCAAGCGCCCCTCTAGCCTCAACTCCGTCCAAGCAGAAGTCGCATAAAAAACGCCCACGCGCGCTTCGATGCGTTTTTGCAGGCCTGTACCCACCTTGCACAGTCGTCTTCCCGCGGGTCCTCTCGCGCTATACTTGCGAATACATTCGCTGACGGACGCCTGCGTCCGCCTCCCACTGCGCTCGGAAGTGTACCCACGGGTGTGGCCGGCCTGGACGTCGGTGATTGTGCGAGGACACCTGGTCGGGCTGCAGGTCGCGCGGGTCGGGCGCGCCAACCCCGCACCGGACGGCTCGAAATGCACACCCCCCCCCCTCGCACCATGACGCACATGTGTGGCGAGCTGCAGTGCGTTTCGGGCGAAAACATTCATGACATCTGTCAGCGGTTCCTCTGGTTTTGAGCGGACGGTACACCGAATCACACGTCGAACTCGCGGGCCGACGCCGCACGGGACATGCTTGCGAACGCAACGACTTACTCCTGACCTTAGAGCACGTACGCCCGCTGTGTCACAGCGACACCCAGCGCCGTCTGGGCAGACTCGTGCGCACTTTTGACGGGCGAACAAACAAGAACGCACGTACTGGCTCCCCCTCGCGTCCTCCCGTTGTGTGCTAACGTATATGCAGTCCTACCTGCGGGTGCGCACCATGTTCCGCGTCCACGTCTGAACACGTCCAGATGGTCTGGGCTTCCACGACTTTGCAGGGCCTCGAGGACGCATTTCCGAATACATCGATTTCGCGCGCCGCCACCGTTGCGCGGCGCGTAGGACAGACAATGTCACGCTCGTTGTACTAGGGTATGTACATTTTACAACCTTCCACGCTGTTCACGTCAGCTAAGCCCCCACTAGCCCCGGCACTGCATGAACTCAACCTGTGGAACGGAGCCCGAAACGCGCGTATCGGGCTTCCCTCGCGCTCCCTCGCTGCACCTTTGCATTTGCCTTTACCTTTGCCTTTGCGCACAGACTCGTCTGCGTCACTCGCTCTCGTCACACGCCACGCTCGGACTTCGAAGACCGACGATCTCGCGCAGGTTAGGCTTGATTCTCAGAGGCGGGCCTCCGATGCATCCACTCCGCGCACCGACGCCGTGCCGTACATCTACGAAGATGGAACACCACTCTCCTCGCACCAGAGCGTACACATCTACGAACGCAACATTTTCAGAACACAAGGGATGCCTGTCTTTCACACAGTTTATCGCAGACCCCATGTACAGCAGGCCGGAGCGCGCGCCCCGGACCTTGCCTGATTACTCCCGCACCGCGCCTTTGTGCTTCATACGCTCCTGCTATGTACGTTCACTCCTGTCCCCGAAGTGTTCGCATGCGCGCGGACGGGTTCCGTACGTGATGGTGCTCGCGACTATGTCTCCCGACGGCGCGTCAGGACGGTGTCGGCGTACATGGCTTCTACACCGCCCGAACGCAGGCGTACGTCCCCTGGGTATGATCCTGATGAGAAATCGCGCGGATTGCGCCTCGCAATTCCGCATTCCTGGTCGTTACGGCACCGAGAAGACAGGGTGCCCCTGCGGCGGGCCGCCCCCTAGCCACGTGCGCCCGGGCCAGAGGCCCATCGCATGCGAGCGTTGTCTTCGACGTTACGTACCAAGTACCGGTCTGTACCGTACTGCGACGTTAATATATTCTGTTGCGCCCAGAGTTGCCATTGTCTGGTAGTGTTTTGTGTCCGGATACTGCATACCGTCCGATATCGCTTCGAGTCGGCGTAAACGTTTTAACTCACTTCAAAAGACACGTATATCGATATGATATACATTTTGGGAGAGCAACGGGGTACCGAACTCCTACATCATGCACCAGTAGTGACGGCGAACGAAAATGACCGAATATGTTCTTGCAGTCGCACTCGAGAGTGGGCCGCCGGTACCAGCCCGGGCTCGTAATCCAGAAACCGTTTGGACTCTCGCGAAACCTACAATAGAGCAGCTCACGAGTCCCTTCGAGTCGCCCTGCTCACCTACGACGTCCCGACCAGTGACAGATATGAAAAAAGTGAAACACGGTACCATCCGTGCCTCAACATCCGCGTCGTATCCGCTGCCCCCAGCCTGTGAAACGTCGGAGATGTCGGTGAGTACGACAAGAGGCAACATATTACTCTGAACTAGATGTGTGACGTACCGTATGTATGATGCACCTTCTGCCTAGATGCGAACATCATTGCTGGGTCGAGCGGGGGCCTGGAGGGGTCACACTACCCTGAGACGAATATGTACTGCGAGTGAGCTATACGCTTCGGGTCCCGCACTGAATTTGCCACCACAACGTGCGAAGCTCATACTCACACTCCCGGCCCGTGCTCGCAGGCGGGGTGGACAAGTGTACGGACAGTGCTTGTTTGGGGAGGACGCCTGCACTGGCACTGAAGGCAGGCCAGCAAGCGGCGCCGGACACAACTGCAGCCTGCGCCTCCAGGTGGACGCCCCGGGCCCCGCCCACGCGAAGACAAAGCTACGCAGGGCGGAAGATGCCACAGTCTTCCCAGCGAGGCTGGGCACGTCAACCCCATATACCGAAGGTCCGGGCTGCTTTTATGAGTGGTATGAACGCGTCCGCGGCCCTCGCGATGGAGGACGTGGTATGAGCAGCGCTTGATGTAATCCGCCGTGCCCGCCCTCCTCTTGCCAAGCCTTACATAGAAAGCGTGATGCTAAATTGCTATGGCATAGAAAGACAAGATAGTTATCGTGTGGGGAAACTCGCGATGACCTACTGACATGCTGACCAGCCAGCGGTCCCTAGCAGCGGGGTCTTGCCATCCACGCGCACTGTTCCGGGGTTTCGGGTCTCCAGACGGATCGACAGCCGCGATCTGTCTAATAGACTGCGTGGACAGTTCGTGCGGAAGCTTTTCAAGCCCTACATCAATTAGTGCATTGACTAGACAGTATGTGTATTGGATACCTTCGATGCAATTACGTCGATGCGGCTTCGGTCGTAGGTGATGATGCAGAGAGTCGAGGCCAAAATGATCGCATGGGCGCAACATATTGCCTGTTCTAGTGACCCCGAAAGTTTGCTTTTTCGCGCACCGTTCTTGCGGTAGCGAACCGACTGGGATCAATAATCGGGCAGACTGCAAGCTAATGATGTATGCGACCGTACCTGTGCACAGGCCGTGCAGCGGTGTCTCTTGATACACTCGATTCTGTACCTCTGGTCGGTCTGTTACTCCGCCCGTAAAGCAGACCTAAACTCACTCCTACTGATCGTATACAGCGCGTAAGCGTGTGTCGTGACCGGGTAGAGCAAAGGCGAGCAGCACCCACTCACCGCAGGCTATCATTCTACTCGGGCGTAAGGCGTCCCATACGAAGACTGAGGGCGCAACCTGCCCCTGCTCCCTGAGTGCAGGTGAGGGGCTGCAGGATGTATCCGGGATTTGCGGGATTGCACTTCGCTGATGGGGCTCAGATCGAAATGGGAAGGGGTGCGGCTAGCGAGCAGAATGACAGGGAGCGTAATGAACTGTATTGGGGAGTGTAGCCGTTGCAAGTGACCTCGGATGATATATATATAATGTCTAGGCATGTATGTTTTGGAGAAGCCATACCATACGGCGACATCGCTGAGGTTCGGGGAATGAGCGTGAGACGCTGACTCGCCGCGGGGGGACTGCGCATGCGGCCCCGAACGTAGTTGCCAAAAGGGGACAAGCGCGAATCTGGCGCCGGGGAACGTGGCCGACTCGGAGCTCGGCGCGCGGCTGATTCACGCGTCCCCCACTCTCTGCTTCCGCCCACCAAGTCTGCTTCCGCTTCTGCGGCGTATCCCCGCCTAACTCGGCGACTGGGGCTGCTCGGGGGAGAACAATGCAGCGTACTTCCCACACACGACGACTGCCTGCGCATCATCGCATCCTCGGCGGCGCTGGTGGGATATCTGTGGCCAGGGCGGGCCACGCACCGATTCCCGCAATCTACGCGACTGTCACTACAAGGCGTCGTCCTCGGGTGTGCACGGTATCCAGGTGGTGAGTGCGCTTGCTCGTAATCTGTCTCGAATCCGCTGACGAGGTGATGCGTACGGCAGGTATCGCCGAGCCCAGCACTCAACAGC